GTTTTAACCCAATGTTCCCATGTGCACTAAGCCACACCCCAGCCATGTGCATTTGTTTACTCATGGTGACTAGTGAATGCAGGCATTTACTAGACCTATTCAGTATGAACTTAAAATTACAGTAATGCATATAGTAAACTTTTCTGTGAAATTAAACTTTTCATACATACTTAATTTTAATTACACAAATGCGTCTACATAAGTAAAAACAGGCAAACTAACTAATTTGTCAATTTTTTAACTTACCCATTCAGAAAACCTACTTTCTTATATAATGAACTTTCGGCTTTAATGGACATTCCCTAGCCCCAGTCTGTTATATTGAGGTTTTGCTGTATACATAAAGGTTAAGATATATAGGGTCTGGGTAAGAGGTTAAGGAACTTTCCTAAAGTAAAGCAAATAGGTTTTAGCCATGCACTTTGTAGCCTCTATGGGTACATATCTTTTTGCTTAATTTCTTGTTCTCACAAGTGTTGCACAAAGGTGAATTTCCCTGAAAACTGGGCTCTGGTTACACAGCATGTTAATGTATTTAATTCTGTACAGCAACCCCAGCATACAGATTCATAATTAAGTTGCTAATATGTACCTGACAACTTTAGAAATATTTCTTAGGCCATTGCCAAAACTAACATTGTGGAAAGAACTGAAACAATTCGTTTCTCATGACAGTTTGCTGAGGCAATACAGTATAATGATTAAGTGTGTAGGCTCTGGACAATATTGTGTTTAGAACCCAGTTTTACCCCTTGCCAGTGTGTGAACTTGGACAAGTAAGTCAACTTCTTGGTATCTGCATTTTCTCATTTTAAAATTGCAGGTAATCAGTTAAATGAGTAATGTGTTACATGCTTAGAAAAGTTTCTGGCACATAGTAAACATTCATTAAATAATATTAGGCTTGTTATAATAGTTGTTTTCTCAGTCCTTCTAATATATTTATTGTATAGGGGTTCTCCAGAGAAAAAGAACCAATATGATATATAGAAAGATTTATTATTATGAGAGATTGGCTCATGTGATAATGGAGGCTGAAATTCAAGTCCCACAATTTGCCCTCTGAAAACTGGAGGCCCAAGAATTTTACCCTTTCTCCAGCTTTTCATTTTTATAGGCTCTCAATGGATTAGATGATGCCCACCCACATTGGTGAAGAGATATTCCTTATTCAAGCTACCCATTCAAATGATAATGTTGTCCAGAAATACCCTCACAAACATGCCCAAAATAATGTTTTACCAGCTATCTGGGCATCCCTTAGCCAAGGGAAGTTGACATATAAGATTAACCATCACATTTACTATTATTGATAGTAAGATAACAAAAGCTACAAGAGTATAATTGTATCCTCTGATTAATTTATTAATTTTTAATTGGTCACTGTGTTAGTCAGGTTTCACTAGAGAAATAGAACCAATGGGATGATTTATAGATTGATAAATGAGAGATAGATTTATTATAAGGAATTGGCTCAGATGATTATGGAGGCTGGGAAGTCCCAAATCTGCAAAGTGGGTGGGCAGGCTGAGACCCAAGGGAGAGTTGGCACTGCAGTTCTAATCTAAAGGTCATCGGGCTAAAGGCCCAGGAGAGAGCCAAAGTTGCAGCTCAAGTCTGAAGGCCATTTGCTGCAGAGATCCCTCTTGCTTGGGTGAGGACAGCCTTTAATTCCCCGTCAGCACCTTGGTTATTGCACAACTAATGAATTATATTCACGCACAACATACTGATGCACATATAGGAAGGTGGTCCTATAAGATTATAATGGAACTGAAAACCTTCTATTGTCTAATGATGTAACTGTTGTAACAGCATAGCACAAATGACAAGCAACTTTAACCTGGGTGTGGTTGAGAATGACAATGAGGAGCTCCTAGAAGTGGCTCCTGAAAAATTGACTAACGAGGAGTTGTTGAAACTGGAACAGGATCACTTAAGGCAGGATAGTAAGAAGCTAAGGATATTCCTTGGAATAAGGGAAAATGAGACAAAGTAATTAAACAAGGTCAAACAATTTGAGCAATTTACAGCCAGCTGATGAATCACAAGGTTTTATTTTCCTTACCCAAAGACAGAGGCCCAAATGGTATACACATTCCAGACCATCCCAGGACAGACCTGCCTCAGTCCTGGTACCTCTTCAATGATGATTAAACCAACCAGAAAATGACCTTGACCTATCTATAGGCACATTTTGATAAATCAGTATATCAAAGGACATGCTCGGGAAGCTAATAAATATTGTTAAGACCCTCCCCTGAGACCTCCCCTAGGATTCCTGACAGCTAAAGAAGATAAAAAGCCTCAAGACAAAGAACTCACAGTGTCTAGGGCACACCCACCCCTTGTATCTCTGCTCTTTCTCCTAAACTCTAAAGGCCCTCACAAGACTTGTAACCAGGGGAGTGGTGGGCATCAGCAGCTCATCCCTGGCTTACACCCTGAACCTGTCTCCAAGGCCCCCTTTTTCTCTGACTTTGCGGTGAGCTAACAGCAGCTCTGCCTTGGCTCACTCTTTTTACTATGACTTTTATTTCTCGATGAGCCAAAGCAGCTCTGCCTCGGCTCTCCCCTGTTGTTTCTTTTACTTTAAGCCCTTCCTTTGTTTCACTGTCCCTAGCTTTAATAAACATACTCTCAAAATCACTTGGACTCATGCTGTGAAATCTTTCCTGCATGAAGTCAAGAACCCACACAATACCACCCAGCCCAAAGCAGACCCAGTCCAGGCCCAGTCCCCATCTGGTAACACACATAGCTGAAGAAAAGGCAAGAAACAAGAAAACTGCAGGAGAAGAAAGAAAGAATCTCCAAGAAAATTCAAAGTGAAGGGTTTAGCAGCAACTTTGGAGACTTTAACAAGCTCTTAACAATGTTTGGAAACATGGATCCCCCAACACAGAAAGATTTTCATTGACAGAGAGGAATAGTCATGGTGCATGATCTGCTTCCAGGCACATTTATGATGAAAGAAAGAAAGAAGAAAGAAGAAAGAAGAAAGAAGAAAGAAGAAAGAAGAAAGAAGAAGAAAGAAAGAAAGAAAGAAAGAAAGAAAGAAAGAAAGAAAGAAAGAAAGAAAGAAAGAAAGAAAGAAAGAAAGAGAAAGAAAGAAAGAAAGAAAGAGGGAGGGAGGATGAGAGAGAGAGAGAGAGGGAGAGAGAAAGAAAGAATTCAAGCAAACCACCATGAACATGATTCTGAAAAGTGACACCTCCTCAAGAAGAGCCTCAGGTGGGTCCTTCAGGAGGTATTCCAGAGGAAGCATTGTTATCATAGGAGCTAACAGCTTCCTGAGTGTTACTGCCCCTGAAGACCTTCCAGAGGGAAAAAAAACACGGATATGAAAGACAGTGGTATTGATTACCCTCACTCTATGTAGGCCTAGGTTAATGTATGTGCTTTTGTCATTGTTTTTAACAAAAACTTTAAAAACAATTTTTTAAGTAGAAAAAAGGGGTATAGAATAAAGATATAAAGAAAGATAATGTTTCTGTACAGCTGTACAATGTGTTTGTATTTTAAGCTAAATGTTATTACAAGAGTCAGAAGTTTTATAAAAATTTAAAAGTTTATAAAGTTAAATTATAGCAAGCTAAGGTTAATTTATTATTGAAGAAAGAATTTTTTTTTTTTTAAAATAAATTTTGTGTAGCCTAAGTGTACAGTGTGTATAAAATCTACAGTAGTGTATGGTAATGTCATTGACCTTCACATTCACTTCCAACTCACTCACTGATTCATCCAATACAATTTCCAATCCTAACAGCTCCATTTTTGGTAAGTGTCCTCCTCATACAGGTGTACTATTTTTTATCTTTTAACAGTATTTTTACTGTACCTTTTCTACCTTTAGATATGTTTAAATACACAAATACTTACCATTATGTTACAGTTACCTTTGGTATTCACTACAGTAACATGCTGTACAGTTTTGCAGCCTAGGAATGTTGTAGGCACCTCTCACAGTCACCAGAGAGGTGTTATCAGACAGTCCCCTGAGTCAGAAGGAGAAGACTGTCCCCACCTTGATTCTTGTCTTCTCATATGAATGAATTCAAAGGAATGATTCCACATGATTATATTGTGATAAAGCTAATTTATTAAAAAATTAAAGCATGCACATTTATCAAAGAAGCAAGGCAAGCAAATTTATCATCCAGAATAATGTGTGGATGGGCTCTCTTGGCTAATTGAAGGAGCAAGTGGAGTGGGGGCCTAGTTAGCATTTATATACTTTTCTATCTATAGATTTAAAAATTCCTCTGCTAGATATCCTGGTACAGGTTAACTCTGAAGGTCTCTCTCCCTTTTACTTTATTATGGCTTTCCCAGAATTTATGAGAAGCACCTGGCAATTAAATCCTGAGACTGCTGGCTTCTCTGTCTAAACATTGGGATGAGATAAAACTTGACTCTTCCTTCCCCCTCCCCTCTCCTCTCTGTTGTCTTTCAGTTAGTTTTAGGGTGATTTAAGCTATGTGTTGTCTAGTTGCATTAAGATTCCTCCTCCTTTACCCTTTCACTTTCCTGCTCACGCCTGCATTCTTTGCTGAGACATTAACCATTTGCTCTCAAGTGTCCTTGGCTGGGTGAAGATCAGGGTTTGCTATTTACAAGCTGGCTGCATGCTGCCAAATTGTTTGGCCTTATTTAATTTTCTTGTCTCAGTTTCCCTATTTCTCCTGCCCGGAATTTTTCCCAGCTTCTTACTATCCTATAACAGGAGCAATAGACTATACCATATAGCCTAGGTGTGTAGTAGGCTATACCATCTAGGTTTGTGTAATGATGTTTGTACAACTATAAAATTGCCTAATAATGCCTTTTTTCATAATATGTCTCTGTCCATAATCAGTGAATGACTGTATAGCATTCAACTAATTGGAAGAGACCCACTCACATGAGGGTAATCTGCTTTACTAAAAATTCACCAATTTAAAGTTAATCTGGTTCTCTTTCTCTATCATCATGGTGCATGAGGTTGACTCTTCTTCTCCATGTCTTCTCACAAGACTTTCAGGATCAAGAGGTTCCTGGCCAGGTATAGCTCAGTGATTGAGCTTCAACCCAAAGACCAAGAGGTCATAGGTTTGATTCCAGGTCAGGACACATGCCTGGGTTGCCAGTGATCCCCAATAGGGGGCATGCAGGAGGCAGCTGATCAATGTTTCTCTCTCATCGATGTTTCTATCTCTCTCTCTCTCCATTCCACTCTCTCTGAAAAAGCAATGGAAAAAATATCTTTGGGTGAAGATTTAAAAATATATATTAAAAAATAAATAAGGAACAGAGTTCAAGATGGCAGCAAATTGAGTGGAAGCTACACTGACACTCTCCTAGGACCAAACTGAAATTACAACTAAACTACAGAAAAACCACCTTGAATAATCAACTGCAACTGAAGACTAGCTGGAGAGCACCCTCATAACCAAGGACTTAAAGTGGAGATCACATGCTGGCAGGAAATGTGGAGGTGTGAGAGGGCTAGCTGGGTTCCCACAGGCAACAGCTAAAGTTCTGGAGGGATATCTCAGCTGTGGGAATTCCCACTGAGGACTCTGGGGTCTAAAGCCCAGGCTGGGCTTCCCAGCCAAGAGCAGCAGAACCGAGAAAGGTGCCCACATAACATCTGGCTGTGAAAAGCAGCTGGGTTTCTGTCTTCCAGGGACAGATAGTGGAAATGCAGGCACCCTCTTAAAGGGCCAATGCACAAAGTTTTGTGTGCAGCCACTCACCTTGGGCTCTGGCAGAGGGAGGACACTGTGGACTATAGCATTGTGAGGAAAACCCAGGTGTGCTGTCAGGGAGAATAGAGCTCAGAGGGCAGCCACCTGGATCCCTGTGCTGAGTCATTTGCCCATATTGCAGAGGACATCTTTCTTAGGCAGACACCTTCCAATCACCTTTTGCATGAGGGGAAATGAATTTCCCCACCCTGCTGGAAAACCTATTGCCCTGTCCTACTCCCTGGAGTTTCTACAGCCTGAGGCTTTTAAAGAGACTGATAACAATTAACCACCCCACCCTATGGAGTTTCTACAGCCTGAGGCTCATTAACAGACTGAATAACAGACTCTGGGTGCTTTGAGCCATTGCCTGATTTGCTTCTGGACCCAGGGTTTGGAAAAGCAGACCTTGGTGCACATCTTGGTCCTGTCCAAACACACCAAGTCCCAGAAGAGGGAACCACAACTATGGAGTGCAAAAAACTTCAAACAAGGTACTCAAAGCCAGTCTCAAACAGCTCCTGATATTGGCCTGCACCAGAGACCACCCAAAAGACTGGGAGTCCTAGCAGATCTACCTAATATATAGAAACAAATCCAAACAGGCAGACAAAATTGGGAGGAAAAAGACAAGCCCCAAATGAAAGAACAAAAGAATTCTCCAGAAGAAGAGCTAAATGAAATGGAGATAAGCAATCTATCAGATATAGAGTTCAGAATACTGATTGTAAGGATGCTCAACAGCCTGAGAAGAGAAATGGAAACTATGAAGGAAATTGAGAATAACATAGCAGAAATAAAAAATACATTGGAAGGAATAAACAGCCTATTAGGGGAAGCTGAAGATTGGATCAGTGAATTAGAAGGCAGGGTAGGAAAAAAAATCACTCAATCAGAGATTCAAAAAGAAAAAAACAAAAATACAGGAGGACAGTTTAAGGGAGCTGTGGGACAACATGAAGTGTAACAATATTTGCATGATAGTAGTGCCAGAAGATCTAGAAAATAAGCAAGTTTTAGAGAACCTGTTTGAAGAAATAATGGCAGAAAACTTCCCTTACTTAGTAAAGGAAAAAGTGACACAAACTTAGGAGGCACAGAGAGTCCCAAGCAAGAAGAACCAAGCCCAGACACATCATAATTAAAATGCCAAAAATTCAAGACAAAGAGAGAATATTAAAGGCAGCAAGAGAAAAGCAAGCTGTTACTTACAAAGGAGCTCCCATAAGACTGTCAGCTGATTTCTCATCAGAAACTCTACAGGCCAGAAGGAAATGGCATGAAGATTACATTCAAGATAATGCAAAACAGGGATCTGAAACCAAGACTACTCTATCCAGCAAAGCCATCATTCAAAACAGATGGTGAAATAAAGAGCTTTCCAAGCCAAAAAAAGGCTAAAGGAGTTTATCACCAGCAAAACAGAATTGCAAGAAACGTTAAAGGGACTGCTGTAATAAGAAGTTGAAATAGAATGAGAAACATTGGCATAAAGAAATAAAATAGCAATAAATACCTATCAATAATAGCCTTTTAATCCATTTAATACATGGATTAAATGCTCCAATCAACGGACATAGGGTAGCTGAATGGGTAAGAAAACAAGACACAAATATATACTGTCTACAAGAGACCCACCTCAAAACAAAAGACTCACACAGGCTGAAAAAAAACCTTCTGGAAGACTTTAAAGGAGAGATAAGACAGCAATACAGTCACAGTAAGGAACTTTAACACCACACTGACTTTACTGGATAGATCTTCCAGGCAAAAAAATCAACAAGGAAATAATGATTCTAAATTACACACTAGGTCAGATGGATTAACTTGACATTTACAGAACATTTCACCCCAAAGCTGCAGAATACACATTCTCCTCAAAAGCACATGGAACATTCTCAAAGATAGACTGCATGTTAGGACACAGAACAACTCTCTACAAGTTCAACAAGATTGAAATCATATCAAGCATCTTTCAGGCATTTACAACATGAATATTATGCACCTATAAAAACAAAGGATCCCTTACCCTTTGAGACAGCATAGATGAAACTGGAGAGTATTATGCTAAGCAAAATATGCCAGTAGAGAAAGACAAATATCACATGATCTCACTCATATGTGGAATATAATGAACAAAATACACCAATGAACAAAATAGATCCAGAGACATAGAAGCATGGAACAGACTAACGAATCTCAGAGGGAAAGCAAGGGTGGGGGTTTGGGGGTGGGGAGATATTAACTTAAGAAATTATATGCATATATGCATAACCCATGGACACAGGTAATAGTGTGGTGAAGGCCTGGGGGGAGAGGTGCAGGATGAAGGGGCTCAATGGGGGGGAAAATGGGACATTTGTAATACTTTCAACAATAAAGATAAATTTAATAAATAAATAGATAAATAAATAAGGTCCTAGCCACTTTGGCTCAGCAGATAGAGCATTGGCCTGCGAACTGAAGGATCATGGGTTTGATTCTGGCCAAGGGCACATACCTAAGTTTCAGGTTCCATCCCCAGCCACAGCAGAGGACCATGCAGGAGGCAACCAATATATGTATCTCCCTCACATTGACGTTTCTCTCTTTCTCTCTTTCTCTCTTTCTCTCTTTCTCTCTCTCTCTCTCTCTCTCTCTCTCTCTCTCTCCCTTCCACTCTCTATGAAAAAGCAATGGAAAAAATATCCCTGAGTGAGGATTATAAATAAATAAATAAATAGAAATTAAGTAAAAATGTATTTTAAAAAGAGTTTCCTGGCCTATCTGGCAAGGTAGGTCACTTGTTAAATCTTCATCCTGATACACCAGCATTGCGGGTTCAATCACTTGTCAGGATACATATAAAAATCAACCAATGGGTGTGTAAATGAGTGGAATAAGTCATTGTATATATCTCTCTCTCCCTCCCCTTCCTCCCCTAGGGGGTTTTGCTCAGTGGTTAAAGCATCAGCCTGGGGACTGAAGGGTCCTGGGTTCGATTCTGGCCAAAGGCACTTACCTCAGTTGCAGGCTCCATCTCCCCCAGGGTCATGCCAGAAGCAACCAATTGATCTGTCTCTCTCACATCAATGTTTCTCTCTCTCTCTCCCTTCTGCTCTCTCTCAAAAGCAATGGAAGAAATATCCTTGGGTGAGAATTTTAAAAAATCATAAAAATAAATAAAAATTAATTAAAAAAAGAAAAGAAGAGATTCTTGGCCAAGAAACAGAAGCATCCCTGGCTGGGTAGCTCAGTTGGTTAAGAGCTTGTCCCAATATGCTAAGGCTGCAGATTTGATCTCCAGTCAGGGCACCTACAAGAATCAACCAATGAATGCATAAATAAGTGGAACAACAAATCAAGTCTCTCTCTCCCTTCCTCTCTCACTAAAATCAATCAATCAATCATCAATCAATCATTTTTAAAAAAAGACAAAAAACAGAGTCTGCCCATTCCCCAATGGATTCAGATGAAAACTGGTAATAAAATTAGGTACAACTCCAAGAAAAGACATTGGAGAAGAACGAAGCTGGGTAAGGAATCACACATGAGACAGTTCCCATATTTATGCAGTATCCAGGTTGCTTGCATCTTATATCACTGAAAACATCACTACTATCTGGCCAGTTGGACATTTTTATTTGGAAATTATTGGAAGAATGATTTTTATCTTTGTTAATATTTTTCTGCACTAGTGGGTTAGTTCAGTAATAAATATGTGAGACCTTTTAAACAAAAATAAAAGTTAATCTGATCTGAAAACACTCCCACAGAAACATCCAGAACAATGTTTGCCCACATATCTGAGCACCATGGTCCAGCCTAGTTGACACATAAAATTAACCATCCCTATCACATATAACTTCCTAACTGGGCCAACCTCTTCATCAATTGGTGGCTTGAACCTAGATCCAGAATATCCTGATGGGAAATTTTTACTTGCCCTCCTTCTTCTCTTCTCACTTTTCATTGATGATGGAGGAGTCCTTCTTCATAAATATTGTGACAGCAGAGCATTAGGGTCTGAAATAGCTGCTTCTTCCCTGGAAGGCATGGTTTCCCGAATCATCAAGCATTGGCAGCTTGAATTAATCTCTCAGTCTCCCCTCTAGTAAGCAGCCAGAATTTTCCTGCCTAGTCCTCTAGTTCCAACTACTGGGGAGCAAAGCTCTTTAGGAATAGCTCTTTTAAAGAACTTACTCAGTGTTAGTCATTGACTCACTTGGTAAATACTTGTTGAAGACCTACTATGTGGGTGGCATGAGTGGGGCTGGGGATGCAAGGATGAATAAGGCAGTTACAGATTTTGTACATCAAAGTCAGTTATATTAAGGAAGCTCTTATTTTTTTCTGGCTTCCCACAAAACTGACCTAATTGGTCAAACACAATTCTTAGGTTTCTTTGGATCAATGTTGTATCCTTCAAAGAAATTTGATGAAGATGATGAGCTATTTCCCTACAAGCTTGCTTTCAGTTTATAATGAAAGCAACTCTCAGACACTTATTTTAAGAAACACTCATTAGCAAGCAGGCCCCAGTTATACAACCTATTCAGTGATGTCCACAAGGTCCCAATTTTCTGTCTTTTCAGGTGTTCTGACTACCACCAGGGGTGAATGGTTCTTTTAAAGCAGATGTAATAACATTTCAGAAGAAAGATCCTAGGCCCTATCAGTAGGCATCAGCAGAGACTGAACAGAGGACTGTTAGGGGATCAAGTCCCAAGCCCCATCCTCAGGGTTTTAGTTACAGCTTTCAGGAGAATTTTGCATACTGTCTCTGCAATGGTGGGAGGATTTCTGAGCTATTTCAGCTGACCTACATATCTTGAACATCTTCAAATGCACCCATTAGAGCCCACTTCTAATACCTAGTCAATAGGTTAGTCAATAGGCCACTACATTAACCAATAAAACCATTGCTAATATTCAGTATATTAACTGGCACAGTCTGGCTTGTTGATCTAGAACCATTAACAGCAGAGCTTAGAGTAAGTAGTTTCTTCTGTGTTTGGGCTTCCTGACTTGAGCAATGGTGGGTGGACCATGCCTGGACTGTATACTCTGGATCAGCACCTCGGCTATATGCTTGGTTATAGCATAACCTATGTAACATACACACAATACTTCTCAGTGTACACTGAAGTATTACCAAGTAAAAGCAGGAATAAAAATAACAAACCTGGGTTTCACACTACCATACTCTCCTATATCCAACATTCCTCATTAGTTCTTAAAGTTGCTAAAGTAGAATTCTCTTGTATCACATTTCCAGGATAGGATTTGAAACTGAAGGACAATGAAAGGTGACTAATATTACAGCTACAGGATATTAATGAGATGCCCAAGCTGACTGCCCCAACAAAGCCTGACTTTGGGATTCTTTGTGGGAAAGATCTTGCCTCTAGGTCTAGTCCTCATGTAAGCAGGTCTAAATGCTGTATTTATCAATTTGTTTATGTCAGGCTACAGAATTCTCACACCAACCCAAATCACAAGTTCACTGTCTAGATCAAGTCTTACTTGGGAATCTATGTACCTGAGACTTTGAATTAGCTATTGACAAGCTGCTTTGTGACATGGGGGAAAGAACAAAGAGAGCTAGATGGTCCTATGTGAGTACTTTGTCCAAGTTATGGAAAAGCTTGAGACAGCTCTATGGTCTGATGAAATGGAATCCCCTGGAAAGGTCTTTGTCTGATAAATTCTTTATTTTTTTAATTTTTTTTTAATCCTCACCTGAGGATATTTTTTCCATTGCTTTTCAGAGAGAGTGGAAGGGGGAGGGAGAGAGAGACAGAGAGACAGAGAGATAGAGAGAGAGAAACATCAATGTGAGAGAGACACATCGATTAGTTGACTACTGCAGGCACCTCGAATCTCGACTGGGGTTAGGGATCGAGTCTGCAGAGGAGATATGTGCCCTTGGCCAGAATAGAACTCGAGACCCTTCAGTCCATGGGCTGATGTTCTAACCACTGAGAAAAACTAGCTAGGGCTAATTTTTTTAAATCCTCACCTGAGGATATGTTTATTGAATTTTTTAGAAAGAGGGGAAGAGAGAGAGAGAGAAACATCGATTAGTTGCCTCTTGCACACACCTCAACTAGGGATTGAGCCTGAAACCCTGGCCATGTGCCCTGACTGGGAATTGAACTGGCAACCTTTTGGTACATGAGACAACACCCAACCAACTAAGCTACATGGGCCAGGGTTGATTAAATCTTATTATCTACCTTTTTTCACTGATTCTAAAATACACATTTTTAGCATTTTTGGATGAAATCTTAGATTGCATGAAATATGGTAATTGCCTTTTTATTACTCATCATTCAGGATTCTACTTTTCCTGAACCACCTCACTATGCATTGAAATGTATGTGTTATAGATTTCCTAGGTCATATTCCGACATGAAGATCCACTCCTGTCACTTGACAGGACCTGAAAAAGTTCACAAATTTCCCTCAGCAGCAGGTTCACAAAGCTTCTCTTGGACTCGCTTCTGCATATGGCTAAGCTGTACCATTTTCTTCACATTTTTACTATCTCCCTTTTAAAGATCTAAATTTAGTTCCAAATAGAGGAAACCCCCTACTACAGCATTCAAAGACGTTTGGCAGTAAGATTCAAATTCCATATCAAGGATGCTCTTGCCCAAATCCCCAGTCCTGCTTCTCACCTTGGTTTTCAGCTTTAGCCAAGTGACAAACACTTATTGATGGACTTTTTTTTTTTTTTTTTTTACAACAATGGATATGTTATCTCATTGCAGCAAACTGTAAGATGTTAAAATGTTCTAGTCTCAAGAGTTTTTCCATAAAGGATTTAGTAGTGTAATGTTGCCATGGCTATCTCCTTTTCCAACCCTTTATTTAAGAACTTTGGTTATAGCCCTGGCTGGTGCTGCTCAGTGGTTAGAGCATCTGCAAACAGAAGGGTCTGGGGTTGGATTCCCAGTCAAGGGCATGTACCTGGGTTGCCAGTTGTTCCCTGCCCCTGGCCAGGCACGTGCTGAGGCAGCCAATCGATGTGTCTCTCTCACATAGATGTTTCTCTCTCTCCCTCTCTCTCTACTTCCCTCCCTCTCTCCTTTCCACTCTCTCTAAAATGCAATGGAAAAAATATCTCCAGGAGAGGATTAACAGAAAATTTTTTTAAAATAAAGAACTTTGGTTATGGGTGAAGCACAACATAAAACAGGTTTACATAACAGGCCGCACCACATAATCATAGATTACAGCTGGAGGTAAAAGAAAAATAATCACTTTACATATGATGACTCTCTAAAAAGAATTTAAATTACAAACCTAAACTGAAACCTCTTGGCTTTTATTAGACTATAGAACTGATAATATCCAGCTGGACTATATAAATTACTATGTTTAGAGCAGCACTTGACTCTTAACCAAATCCTCATGCTATTAAATCCAAGATGTTATCACTTTTAATAATTGGTAGGTGATATTTTCATATAAACACACATTACATTTATACCTGTGTGTGTTTCAGAGAAGCATTTGAAATTTTAAAATCGTGCCTAAATCCTATTAATTTACCAAGTAAAAGTTATTTTACCTTCTGAAATATTCAAATTTTAAAACTTTCAACAATGTATTCCTTAGTTGAGGTTTAGAAGGAAGGAACACAGTCCTTGAAGGCCTGGTTGGTATTTGTCTCGCAGTGTGCTGCGTGCTTTTCTCACTTTATAAACAACTCCTCTCACCACCCCGAAAGGTTCACTGTCCAGTTTTTACTGGTGAGAAAAGAGAGGCTCAAAGATGCTTGCCCAATTTCTAAAGCAGCGATTTTCAAGCAACTGGTGTGCCACAAGAATTTTTAAAACATGCAATACCTGACTAATCAGGGGCACTGACCTCTTTTCCCTTAGATTGTCATTAAAAAATGACAACAGCCAACATTACAATAGCCATCCAGTGTGATAGGATCAGAATTATACCTTTTTTTTTTTTTTTGTCAGATGGACAAAAATATATTTTTTGGTGTGCTGCAGAATTTTAGTAGTTTATGTGTGCATGAGATTAAAAAGGTTGAAAATCGCTGATCTAAAGCAAGTAAGTTTCAGAGCCAGTATTTTTCTTTTTTAATGTTTACTCCAGAGCTCATGAAGTTTCCACTAAAAACCATCAATAAATTCAACATGTGATACAAGAAGCGTGGATTTACTCTGACAATAGCTTTGGCAGTGCCAACCCCAGTTTTTATAGGTGAGACTATAATCTGAAATGAACAGTTTAATGAGGAATACACCTGAGATCTCTCTCTCTTTCTCTCTTGAGCACGCCCCTTCTTTTCCCCCTCTCCTTCCCACAGGCACGTTTCCCTTGACTTTCTTTCTCCTAAGATCCAATGGCCCTTCTGCCTCTGTAACTTGTTTTCTGAGCCCAGGCAGCCCAGCTAGCTCACTGTTTTCCACGGTTACTTCTACTTCTGTGCTTTTTGAAAAACAAAAACAATCATCCTCATTACGTGGTCTCCTAGACACTGAAATCTGAACCTTCTTGATATGCTATAGCAAGGTTTTAAACAAAGAGGTTTTGTTCAGTACCTGTTTTTGTGGGATGGTGTAACTATGCAGTCCATATCAGTCAACAAACACTGCATGCTGCTGATTGATGACTCATGAAATCTACTGTGAGATCTCTCTGCTCAGTTTCAAAACATTCATTTAGAATTGCATTTGTAAAATAGCCAACGGCTTATCACAGTATTTTTGCTATCTTGGCATGATTCTAAACAGATCAGATTTTTAATTTTAACTTGGAATTTTACTCTTTATGTTTAAAATTTTATCTGCATTGTGGTATAAGAAAAGCACTTAAGGAAAGAAAATTTATTATAAGTACATACATATCTTTTTAAAAAATACATTTGAGTACATAATAAAATTTTCCTAAGTAAGCTTAGGAGTTAGATTTCAAAAATAAAAACCTCTGTAGAGCAGAAGTAACTTTTTCTCCTCTGTTCATCTCTCTGAAGGAAAACAATCTTTCAGAGAAGATTATTTAGGTATTAGTTATGACTTTCGTTTGCCATTTGGGCCTTTTTCTCTTTGTATTTACATATGAGTGGTGATAATTGCTACAGTAATTTCCTTTTTCCACTTTGGGCTTCTAATATCAAAATAACTTCTTTTCACATAGTTATTATAAGGAAGAGAAGAAAATATTTTCTTTTCCTATAGACAATATACTGAAATGAAAATGTAGTATACTTCTAAAACAAGGCAATGGCATATTGATGCTATTACGATAGGTGTCTCTTATCAATTGTCAGTGAATGACACATAACTGAAAACAAAGGATGAGCAATAGTTTCACGATTTAAAATTTTCTCTTATTATTGTAGAAACTTAGTAAAAAAATGAATACCACACTGCACGATATGGCTTAAATCCTAACATCTTGGTTCTGACCTTCAGTTTTACGAATGTCGGCCTATTTCATCTCTGCAAAGAAATCTGTTGTCCACAAACACTTACTGCTGTGGTCAAGCGGCAGGTGCCGGCAATTCTTCAGGCCTCCTGCTAGAGCGCAGGGCTCCCCGGCCATGAGCATCCTTACCAGATGGGTGCCCTGTTTTCAGTCCTCCCTGAGGGTGACCTTCAGCAT